CGCGGCAGCGGGACTGGGGAGAAGAACGGAGAGGGTGTGCGCGGGGAAGGGGCTGTGCGCAAAGCCGGGAAAGAGAAAAGAAGTCTGGGACATGCGTGTGCGTCTGGTTAATTAGAGGAACCAGTAAAGGGTTTTGCCTACGAGGTCAGCCCGCTTGGAGTCTCACTCTTCGGTGAGAGAAGCATATTTCCTTTCTCTCCCTCTGTGAAAATGCTTAACGATGCTGTTTTAAAAGTACTTTAACTCCAGAATCGTAGAGAAGCCCGTATATTCCCTAAAGTAGAATACCACAAAAATCAGTAATTAGCAGCTACACTCAAAGTGTTTTAAACTATGCGCCCGTGAAGTGTTCCGGAACTAACTTTGCGTTTTATTCCACAGGAGATGGCCATACTTAAATCAAGTATCCAAAAGAACATTTCCATTTCGGGCCATTTTATGGGAAGTCACTTCAGTTATTTCGAATAAATTCTGGTATATTTCGATAAGAATTACCAAAAAAACATAGAAGTATGCAATGAGAGATTTGGCTCACTTTTCCGCCGAGGCCAGACATAGCTCGACCCCAGACCGAAAAGAGCCGGGGCTCGAACTCGGGTTCAAAATAATTGAGCATCTATCCTTACGTTCGCCCGCTGAGTCTCAGGTTGGTCGAGACAATCGTTGTTAAATTTCGCACAAAATCGATGTGCATAAATCTACTACTAATAATAATAAATCTACTAATTATGACACAGGTGGTCTCTGCGAATGCCTATGGGCATACTGTGCTTCATATTATCCGTTCTACCTGCTACCAGAATTCAGTTGCTTCATATTACGTGATGGTCGCCTCACCCCTTACCTCTGTTTCTGTTTAGCTGGCATGATTGGTGTTCAAAAGCAAGCACGAAACCACATTGCCAAACTTCCGACATAACTTTGAATAGAACCTTTGGTTTAGCCTAGAGAGAGAGACAGACAGAGGGGTAGAACAAAGACTACTAACAAGCGCTCAGTCACTAAATGAGGCAGACGGAGCCTTCAACTAGTTGTAATTATCACTCATAAATTCACCTTCAGGATGAGCTAGGTGTTTGCCTAGTAATGTACACCATACACTTTAAAGAGAACGCAAAATAGCTGCAGAAAAAGAAGACGTTAGGTGTGCTCTTCTTTTTGTGATTAATTAGAAGTTACTTTTATAAAATTGGTTGGAAGATGCAACAGCCCCATAATATGACATTGTCTGTCCAAGACGACTGATTAATAGATGGTTCCTGACATTATATACATGCGCCCAGACACCCGGACACGCAAGGTACCTAGGGGAATCAGACCATTGTCTCATTTAGGCCATTTACACTGACAAGCACCCTGTTTGAGGCCTTGTGAAGAAAGGTCTACTTATACGCTCCTGAGCCAGTGTTGTGAGCACATAAAGCGGAGCGCTGTGTGCTCGTGAACTATGCCACTTAGGTATTCTGAGTGATGCGGAATTTAAGGGCTGGGGAGGCCTCAAAGTCGAAGGGCTAATCTGTGATTGTTACAATTATCGTAACTCTTTACTGGCAGGAAAGCAGCTTTGACAGTCAGCCTCATGAGGGCTTGGGTAGCTAGTCAGCCGCTCCTGCACCCGATCCAAACGTCATGTGAAAAATGCCAACAGGGGCTTCTTGCATATTTCCTCGAATTTTTTTATCATTGAAAGAATGTGGGTTATTTGGAGATGATCAGCTCTATATTATTATAAACTAGCTCCCCCTGACTGTGTCATAAGTTTATCTTTTTTTTCTGTTGAAGGTGAACATGCAAGTTGAACTGCGCAAAAGTGAACCTCATAGAAGCTTTTTTAATCCAATTTTATCCCGAAATTTTTCTAGTTAGTATTTATATAGATCTATGTCTTCGATGTCTTTGTAACTCTTATAAAAGTGAAGCCAAAAACTTGCAGAGTTTTCTTTCCGAGAGCACCCAAATTTCATGCTAAAAAGACACAAATATTACACCTCTGTTCTTCTATACACCTTTACCGGCATTTAATTGCGAACCTCTAGGTAAACCGCAATCAATTTCTTCCCATGCAAGGGTACATGCTGTCAAACTTTGATATCAACTGTCACAGCAATCGATTTAGAACCCGAAATAGATTTATTCCATCTGAATAGGTCTCAATCGACGGGCTTCGAAAAAGTATCAAGTCACCACTAGTAGTGAACTATCTGCCTGTAAGTCTGTCTGAAGTATATCTGGTTTTCGTTGATGAATGTTCACCCAACGTTCATCAGCGAGTGCCAATATCCCCGACCTAAACCAGCAAGATAACGAGCTCGTGGCTCAATAGTTAGGGCATTTGACACTGCTCAAAAAGGTCGCGAGTTTGAAGCTCGGGCGGGAGACCACTTGGGTCTGGGTACGACTGGCTGACGATGGCTACTAAGCCACAAATAGACATCCCAGCCTCCCTTGTCTTTGCTGGCAATATTACCTGCCAATAACTGGCTTGTAGGTCGTTCAGCGAAGCAGAATTCCGGTCAGTGGAAAAGGAGACTCATACGCATTGCGTGCATCTTTCCGTACAACCGTATACTGTTCTGACGCATTTCCATCCATCGAATACGCCATTCAACTCAAAACCGTGTCTCGCTGTCGCGAGCGCGCGGCGGGCGCATGCCTCGCCGCCCTGTCTTATACTTTTTCTTTCGTTCTTTCGTTTCTTCTACTCTGTAGGTTTTCCCACAGAAACCTCACTCTCAGTTGGTAGCGGCGAGTGCTGTCGTTGAAATTATCCACTGGAGTCCGGGACCGTCCGCGACCCTTCCAGTACACGCCTGTAGGTACGAGGGGTGCCTCAACAATGCCCAAAGGCGCCAATTGAGGAAAAAATAACTAGTCACTTTTGCCACTTCTCGACCCCCCCCCTCCCTGCCCACTTTCCCCACCTCGCTTCCCCGATTCAGACTTTTTTCAATACGAACATGTACAGTCAGTCAGTCGGTCGGCCGTCAACTTCAACCGTCGGCAGGTGCTCTTGCAGTAGTTACAACTCACCGGCTGCAGTCCTGCTCGCGATAGAAAAGTATGTACTCAAACAGGAGTTGGCCTCACACCCACACACACGCACCCATGAGGAGAGGGCAGCCGTGATTCGTGTGCGTTTACTTCGAGAGAAGAGGAAGAATTGCGCTGTCTCTACTTCATTTCACACTTCCCACACCGACTGCATTCCGAGGATGGGGATTAGAACGATGGTCGATCGATCTAAGCGGCCCATCTACGCGTGTTGCAGCTAACCTGTTCTCTAACAGGCATCAGTATGGGGTTTCAGGACTCAAATAAGCAATTGGCAATGGCAAACTTTAAAGGTGTATTTGTCTTTGTATACTGAGCAAGTCAAGCACTGAATTCGAACTCCACGGGCTTCGCTCACCCGGCTCTCTCTCTCTCTCTCTCAACTCCCGACATGCCCGATGTAGACAAACAGGCTGAGTGGAGGGCGGACTGGATCATGCTATCTGTTAAAATCCATCAATCAAGCCAGGTTGCATGGACAAAACTTCCGCTTGCAGTCGAGTCAGACTGGCCCAGATGGCGTCTTCCACAACGAATGACAGTCTGGCAGTGAAGAATGTTTGCCTACCTAATCACACAGCTCTGACTCTTCTCCTTCTTCTCCCCTGTTAATCTTCAATATCCTGCAGCTTCCTTGTCAGGACACGACATAAGAGGACGGAGGAAAGAGAGGACTATGTTGAGCGTAACGGAGAGGATGAAAACAACAATAAAGATTTGGGGGCGTGGAAATGAGAAGAAGAAGAAGAAGAAGAAGAAGAAGAAGAAGAAGAAGAAGCGAAGGAGGAGGGCACGGAGGAAGAAGAAGGAAGGAAGGGATGAAAAAAGACGGAGAAAGACGAACCAGTGCCGCGCAGATGCTGGTGCCTCCGGATCTAGGGATTCTTCATAGACTATAGTACTCATATCGACTTGAACTACCATATAAACCGTAGTAAGCGGAGGGCATTGTAACTTGTCTCCGTCTCAGATATTATTTTTATTCTGACAGTCGGTACTGTATTAAGCCACAGCTTTCAATGCGCCGACAGCTGAAGCACAGTGGCGGGTGAATTTGCTTCTCCCTCCCTCCTTCCCTCCATCTCTCTCTCTCTCTCACTCGACTTTTCTCCCC